CCAAACACTTAACCAAAAACGAATTACAAATCAAATCTGAGTTGCTTCGAATTGTGCTGAGTCGACTCAGTTATTTGAATTCGAGCTTACTCAATGTGGATAGTTCACATAACCACAATGCCTCAAGTCGATACGAATGGATCTGGTCTGATTTCTTTCTTCACTTCCACTGTAAAAAGTTGTGTTCAATGAAGAACAACTAGAAATTCTCCACAGGACTTGATAAAGAAGGTGATGCAAGTTTTCATCTTACACTCGTATATCTTAACATAAAAGTTAACAGTCTACCTGAATTATCCCGTTGAAAAAACTATTACCGGAAAACTTAAACGTTTACATGATACAATAATTATTATAACATGTTTCATACACATATAACTTGTAATTAAACTAAACATCCATCTAATTTTCACATAAATTCATCTTCCTAAAAACAAAATATATATATATAAAATTAACAGTCAATGTATGAGTTGTCGTGCTAACAAAAAAATAAGTGGTAAATCTACATGTTTATATGGTAAAATAAATAATTTATCATGATTTAATACCATATAACTGGTTAGAGAATCACTACATCTATAAGTTAAACATACAATAATTAATTTATCGTGTTAAACAAAATGTTAGATGTACACCTAAATGTTTGTCTGGTACAATACATAATGTAACGTATTATAGTTTTATATAACGTGTTTCAAAATCCTTACATCTATAAATAGCTTATATTTAATAAAGATATGAAATTTTACCGACAACAACTATGTTATCGCATTAAAAAAAAAAGTTATAGGTTAATTTGCATATTTGTATGATACAACAATTGTTATCATGTTACGAGAACATGTATATCATTATCATAATGTATATGCATAATATCTTGGTTTTTATATCTTACCCAGATTTTCACCAGATCTTCATCGGATTTTTGTTGGATCTCACATGATCATCACAGAATCTTCAACCTAATTTCTATTGGATCTCATATTTCGTAAAAGTTTTCTCTTTCTCAAGGAAAAAAAGAAACAAGCGAAGAACAACTGAAAAAACAAAGATAGAGAAAGTAGATAGATTATTTATCTATACACAGAAAAAGACAATGACATATATATGAGAGTGGCCGAGAAGAGTATGAAATAGAGTTTTCTTGTGTCCATTAAACACACAACGTAATCCCTATTAGCTAAATAAGAACCTATTTAGGATTTGATAGATATTTTAATTCCCGCCGCGCTACATGAGAAGGATATTCTCGACAAACCGCACCTAAAGTCAACAAATTTTACTCATGCTAAAGTCAACCTGGTTACTTATCAAATATTGAGCCCAAATTTGGTTTTCTACCTAATTGTCTCTTTCAAGTTACCAAAAGTTTAAAACTATATAAAGTTGTTGAATACCAAGAAATGGAGAGTTTAAGAAGATGGAACAACGTCATCAGTATTACAAAAGGTTTCAAGGTGTTCTTTATTATATATATAAAACAACGGAATTGCCCTGAAAGTTTCAATCTTGACCGCTTCTAACGCTGAGTTAGTCGCCCTCGTCCAGTCTGCAACTTGAAGGATACTTTCCGAATGTAATCCACCTGAAACCCGAGATAAGTACAACATCAAAAGAAGAAGGGGATGAATATGATGATATCAGCAAGGTATACACGGAAAGAACAATCCGCGTTTTGATTTCAACCACTATAAAGAAGAGTTGTTGCTGCATGAATAAAATGATGAAACCTGGTTTATAGCAGTGTTGAAAATTAACTCCTCGAAACTTGCAGCAATTCTCGTGAGCTCGTTAATTCCTTCTTGCCCACAATTTGGAACATGTTTGTTTAGTGCTTCCCTTCTGCTCATATTACAAGTAATTTAGTTGTACATAAAACACACTAATAGGCCAAGGAAATATGACAAAACGTTATAACCTTCTAGTTCTAGAGAAATATATATCAGGAGGAAATGAGTAGCTGAGCGAGAAAAGATGACAACTTTGGAGAGACAAAACACAATGTGTAATGAACTTACATCTTCTCCACATTCTGCTGGCGTGAAACTGGCGGCAGTTGAGCTCTCCAGTCACCTGTGTTTACAAAGCACCAAGAATAACTTTTATAACTCCACAAAAACTGAGAAAACAATAACGCATAACAAATCAAATGCCATATTTCGAATGTAGGGGATACAAACATGGATGAAATTGACACCGGAAATTTTCAAATTACATATCTTACACGAAGATAATGCATTAAATCTAGTATGAGAAGGCACTCAATTGGTATTGTCCTTCAAGTGTCCCATATCATCTACTATATTAGGAATACTGGGAATAGAAAATTACCAAAACATTGCTCAAACTTAAAAGATCCAATTAAACAGCCACAATTTTCTAACAAAACTGCTTTCCCTTTTTCGTATTTTCCTTGTTTAAAACTTCAATGAATCTAATGCTATGAATTGAGTCATGGACAGGCTTCAAAGCACTAGGTAAAGTGTACAAATATATTCTTGACTGTCTTCAAGTAAAAAACAACAGAACCATCTTCTAATGCAAGATGAAGGAATATAATGTCGAAAAAAGTTTCCCTAGGCCAAGAAAAAAAGAAGCATGACAGGTACAAGCTCGATTTTTAGTACCTGAATTCATGGATGTGCCATTATTAGCGGCAGAGGAAGAGCCAGCTGCATTTTGCGATTTCGTCTCCATAGCGAACATCTTGGTGGATATTTTCCGAAGGTAATCAGTCTGAAAGTCGAAATAAAATAATTTGTTTTACCAGAAAGCATGATGGAAATCAATCAGGAAGGAATACATAGATCTATACACTCATAATACAGGAGAGTAACACTATACAGCGATAAGCTTTACGAATACTAAAAATCAGTTCTTTTTCATGTTGAGGTCGTCCATTTCCTTACAAATCTCTCTATGAATACCACACTCACACAAAAAACAACAAGAAAAAGATGTTGAGAGACCAGTGTATAACCTGGCCAGAAGCAGCACTGAAAACATTCTCCTCGAATCTGGTAGCAATTCTTCGGAGCTCGGTAAGTCCCTCTGGTCCAGAAAATGGAAGGTGGTTCTTCAGTGTCTCCATTCTGCACGAGTGGCAAGTAAATCAAGCAAGCAAAAATGAAAACTTTACAGATACAAAAACACAAAAAAAATTACATCTTGTTGATTATCCTCGAGCGTGCATGAGATGACAATTGAGTTCTCCAATCACTTGCTGCTGCTGCTTCCATGGTGGGTTCTCCGCTCGGAAAAGAAGGCGCCATACTTGTATAATAACTCGACCTAAAAACAGAATCAAAACAGTCAATAAACCCCCAAAATTCCTTATATAATATATATGTCTATAAGGTAGGCATGAATCGCTCTCATATCTCATAAAAACCCTTTTCCTTTATGAGAACTATTAACACAAACGATTCGTGAAAAAGCACAAAGTTTTTATCTAAGAGAACCTAAACCCGCAAGAAAACAAAACTATTGAGTTTGGGAAATTGGATTGATCAGCATTCAGCAGCATCTTCGTTCACAATTCGATACTTCTATCACATGATCCCAACCACACAAACAAAAAAACACAGAACCCTAAAATCAACAAAACCCAAACTAAAAAAAACGAAATTCGAAAATAATCACCTGAAAGACCAGAGTCTATTGACGAGAGATTTGGAGGTCAAAAATAAGATGCAACGAACAGATAAGATAAAAGGCTCAATAGAAACGGAAGATTGACCC